CCGTGACCCCGGCGCAGGCAGGGCGGGCAGCGAGACACAGCCTGAGTCCACAGTAAACGCCACCCCCCTCCAAAACTCCAGCTGAAGCTATGCAGCCCTTAGAGGCTGTTTTGGGGATGATTAGCGGCACAACGAAGAGCAGCGCAGTCTGTCTCTGGGAGCGAGACCAGCCCGGGTTTGGGTATTATTTCAGACGTCTGTTCGTGTGTCGCGAAGGGGATCGCTGAGCAGAGCTGCTGTGAGCGGTCCTGACCTTCAAACGCCTGGCAGACCTTTGCGAGGTTCCTTTCAAACAGTCGCTGATGAATCCTCAAAGTTCCCTTAGAAATAGTTATCTTTATTTACTGGACTGGGAAACAGAGCCGCAGGCCTATGACAAGACCGATCGAAGGTCACCCCACAAGCAAGTGACCTCTTGGTTTCAGGAAACAACCAAACAAGGTGGTTTTTAAAGGCGTCCTGGGACTATTCTACAGGACCCACAATCTTTCAGAGAATCCTGCAAGAACAAGATCAGCCAACAGAGAAGAAATGCCAGAGGACACGTTAATATCCATGCTCCCAGGGCGCTTCACATCCTCCCGTGGCAAAGGGACCAGCGCCAGCGTCCCCACACTGCAGGGGGAAGCTGAGGCGCTGGGGTGGGATGATCTGCTCACGGTCACACATGCAAACAGCTGAGGAGCTGGAAAAGCAACGGCAAGCAGGATTGCTGGGAGCAGTGGGCAGCTCGGAGAGCCGGGCACAACACGGAGGATTCCAATTCCTCTCTGACCAGCAAAGCCTCAGAAGCTGATAGGAGAGGAGCTCGGGGAAGCACCGCAGGCTCGTGACACTTGCTCTCACCCAGGAAAGCACTCTCCTGAAAATAACGTTAAGTGACTTTCAGGCACTTTGTAATTAGCAGAACAGCAAAAATCATCCGCCTCTCGGCTGTCCCCAAGCCACAGCCAGGGCTGGGGCAGAACCCTGCCTTGTTTAGCAGGTGGAGCGGAGCAGCCCAAGACGTTCACAGAGCTACAAAACTGATCTCAACCACAGAGCAAACCTGGGGAAGCAGAATATTATTTTTTCAAGCAGTTTTTGGCCTTATTCTTTTTTTTTAATCCAGCCAACCAGGGGTTGTTTTGTCAGGGCTCTGTCCTCAAGCAGCCCAAAACCACCCTTGAGCACTAAGCGTCCCTGTGGGAGTTTCAGCTAAGCAACCGCCCTGGTTGCCAATGGACTAATGACCCAGCAAGCCTGAGCTGAGCAAGCCTCTACGTCAGCACAAGCACCAACCAGCAGGACAGGAGTCAAAGGTTTATAATTGCAGGAACACTGCACTCGGTGGCGGTTGCCAACAGCCGCAGAGATAACGATTCGGTGACCTTCGGTCTCCTTTGCAGAGCAGCGCATCCCACAGCAGCCTGGTACATCCTTGTCCCACTGGGATGGGATGGGCTCCTGCCTCAGTAGCCAAAAGGGGACAGAGCTGCCAACCCAGAGACGTTTTGCACAACAGAGGCCTTGCAATAGGTTTAAAATGCAGACAACACTCAATGGCACGTAAGCTATGGAAGACAGACAGTTCTGCCATTTGTTTAACTGCTGTCCCATCCCGAATCCCTGGGGAAGCACAAATAACTGGGAGCTAAAATGGGGGGGAGGAACACCAGGACCCACAAAGGCTCTATTCATGTCAAGCAGCTGGTCACTGTCCTCAACACAAGCCTATTTTTGCTCCTAGAGTATTTTACAAAAGCCACAGACTCTCCTCATCCTTTTACAAACAGGAACACAAGGGAGAGAAGGGACTTGGCCAAGGTCACCAAGCCAGCCTGTGCAAGAGCCAGAAACAGATCCAGAACCTTGTTGTTCTTGTTCCTGCTCTGGCCCCTGGACCTTTCTGTCTTAAGCAAGTAGTGGGCTGCAGGTGTGGTAGACATTGTCTGCCAGTCTCACCTCCACTAACGAAGTTTCTCCTCCTTTCTACCAGGAATTTTTCCTTCTGTAAGAAATAATCCATCTCTGTAGCAGGACCACAGTCTGGTTGCTCAAAATCCTTATAAATTATTTCTGTTCTTTCATAGCAAGCTCTGAAAATAGCAGCAAACTCCAGCCTTGGTGTTTTATTAGTCACCCCTTTTCCAAACTGCCCACCTTTAACAATGTGATGCTGAACAAAGAGCATTTTGGAGAGGGCCATTACTAGCACGGGGCATTGGAGGGTTGCCTCTTTCCCCATCTCCCTGCTCCTAAGAGGACTTTGTCTCTCATGCTGCCTCATCCTCTGCCTGACGAACCTCACAAAGGGAGACTGTGCTCCAGAGGAAGCTGTCTGACTGCCCAAATCATTGGCAATCCTGTTCAGAGCCTGGCTCTGCTTCCAAAAGCTTCTTCTCCCAGACTCACCCAAATACGTAAAACTCTCAGCTTTCCTTTAAAAACAAGTCGTGAGTTCTCAGAGCTGTGAACAAAAGGTTGGGAAAATAATCCAAGTATAATTCAGCTGCTTTGAAAAATGAAGACAGAGAAAAAATACATCTTCAACAACTTGCACTGCTTTTAAGCCTCTCACGAGCTGCTCTAGCATGAGGTGGGCAACACCACCAAGGCGACCCAACAGCCACCCTCTCCAGCTCTTCACCCTCCATCCGTATCACCCTGAGCTGTGCACGGGCCAAAGCTACATAAAAAGCACCAAGGCTCCGGCTACAGCCCCAGCCCGTGGGAAAGATGCCGCTACACTAAACCCCCACCTGGGACCTGCACTGAAGACACGTCCCAGCTGGTCTCTTGGCCGTCTGCCGGGACCAGAAGCGCAGGGGCCTCAGGCAGAGCATGGCGAGGCCAGCATGTTTTGCCCCGTAAGAGCAGTCCTACCAAATCTTTTCACACCTCCAGAATTTCAGCACCCGAGACATGAAACAGAGAGAGCAGCGTATGTTTTACCAACCCAGCCAAAAAGGGCTGTAAGGAGCCTGCCCGATGATACCACGGGCTACCAGGTCAGCCGCAAAAACACCGTGGGCTTGTGCAGTCAAGTCCTGAGGCAAGAGGCAGACATGGGAAGGGGGCAGAGGGAGAGGGGGATCGGACGAAACGCTACAGCCAAGGGAATAAATCAGGGCTGACTGCACTGGCTGAGAAACACTCTTGTTTTACTAGAAGTCGTGGACCTGAAGCAGAAGAAATTCTCCATCCTGTGCTCTGCAGGAGATCAGACTAAGCGGTCATAACAGTCCCTCCTGCTTTTAAGACCTATTAATCTCCCCACAGAATGTAGCAAAACAGCACTACAGGACAGGCTGATTT